CACACACACACACAAAACACACACACACACACACACACACACACACACACACACACACACACACACACACACACACACACACACAGGGCTTGACCCTGCCTACTGAGTGAAATGCCACCCAGGGGAACAACTTAGGCAAAGGTCAGGAGGCTGCCAAGTAAACAAGGAGACCCGGGGGAACAGGATCTAATGAAGTCTGTCCCCCAAGGGAAATGTTCTTTAGAGTCCTGCTGGGGGGGTGTGATAATGAAGGGTTAGCCACAGACAAAGGTGGGGCAAAGGTGAGAGGTTAGGAACTCTCATCTGTTCCCAGCTGCATTTTCTTTAGTGGTCCTCACACGTTCCGCCCATTTTGTTGTGGTTAAAACTGAGGCTGGGCTAAGGTTATATGTTGAGTTGCATGGTCCCAAGGTTTCAGCCAAGTGCATTGTTTCCCACATGAGTCTCCCCGGTCTACAGGGCTCAGTCTTACCCTCTATACTATGGGAGGGTGAAGTCCGCAGATCATACCTAGGCCTTGAGGGGTTCAGCTATTGTACCCATCTTTACTCAGGATGCCTGTGAATCTGTCATCAATGCATTAGCCAGAGTCATGTGGCTGCTGTGAGCAAGTGCTGCCTATTGGCAAGGATCTGAGCTGGGAGAGGAAGCCCAGGGGGAAGGAGCAAGGGGAAGAGGAAAGCCAGGCAGGGAAGTCTTCTGCAGCTACCCTGGCCATAAGCCCAGTGTCCTCCCAGAGTCCACCACACGAGGTCATCATGAGCACACCAGGAGAGGCTCTCAGACCTCCTTTCTCAAGGAGGTCACTCAAGGAGTCACTTTCTCAAGTCACTGTCTCCTCAGATCATAGCCCATGAGCAGGCCCCGGATCACCCTATGACTGGCTCTCATCAGATCTGTAGGCTCTGGGTGAGACTCTCAGATCCTAGAGATTTGGGAAAGGGGCTGTTGGGGTCAGGGCTGAGGTCTCAGCCTTCTCTGTTCCCCCACAGAAATCCGAGAGGCCTTCAAGGTGTTCGACCGTGATGGCAATGGCTTCATCTCCAAGCAAGAGCTAGGCACAGCCATGCGCTCCCTGGGCTACATGCCCAATGAGGTGGAGCTGGAGGTTATCATCCAGCGACTGGACATGGATGGTGAGCAACACCCTGCCTCAGTTTACCCATACACATCAACTAGACCTGAACCTCGGAGGCTGAGCCCACCCTGGTCATTTGATCCCTGGCTACTCCTGATCTGCCAGTATTTCTCAGCCTGGAGAATGGAGGCCAGAGAACTTCTGATAGCCCCAGCCACATATGGGGTCAAAGACTGCCCCCCACCCTGTGGTCTGAGACCATTTTAAGTATGGAAAAGTAGAAAGGATGTAATAAATATCCCAGCTTCTACCACCCAAACTAAGTCATTATGGTGGTTATTTGCCACCTGGTATTTTATTAAGGAAAAACTCCTAAGAATGATCAGTACTGTCACGTCCTTTCTGCTTTATCCCCCTTGTTGACGCTTTCTCTCTTGCCCTCCCTCCAGAGCAGGTAACAGTCTGCAGCCTGCTCTGTCCTGAGCCTCCTTTCCCATCTGTGTGGTAGAAAGGATGATCGTCAGCAGGGTGCTGGGGAGCCGTGGACAGTTCTGAGTGCACTGGGAGGGTTTCCCACATTTGGGGACCATCTGCTGCTCCCCACCTCCACCGTTCCCAGTAGGGCCTCATCATATTTGGTAGCCTCAGTATCAGCCCAGAGCCTGGCATGTTTAAGACCCTGAAATTGACTGAAGGTTCAGGGAAGGGACTGCCTGCCTGAGATCCCAGGTGGGTCTGCCAGGCCAAAATTCCATTCATGTCCTTTGGACTCTGGGATGCCTGCTCAGGCTGTTTCACCCTGATCCACTCATTGATCCTGTGCCCACTCTAGGTGATGGCCAGGTGGACTTTGAGGAGTTTGTGACCCTCCTGGGACCCAAGCTTTCCACCTCTGGGATTCCAGAGAAGTTCCATGGCACTGACTTTGACACTGTCTTCTGGAAGGTATGTCCTACATGACTGGGACTCTGGATTGTGCATACCGTGGAGGTATTACGGGGGCCTGTGAATTGCTAAATCCATGCTGGAAAGGAGGAATGACCACAGTCCATCAGATATCTTGCTTCCTAGAGGCCTGAGCTCCTTGGGGTAATGGAGTGGGTGGTTCTAGGCCACCTGTCTCTGGGCTTGTGTGGCTGCAGGGTGCTGGGTGGGGACTGTGGTGGGATGCTGGCCAGAGCACTTGTCCCCTTTGCTACCCCAAGTGCGACATGCAGAAGCTGACAGTGGATGAGCTGAAGCGGCTCCTTTATGACACCTTCTGTGAACACCTGTCCATGAAAGACATAGAGAACATAATCATGACGGAGGAGGAGAGTCACCTGGGTACAGCTGAGGAGTGCCCCGTGGACGTGGAGAGTGAGTGGCCGAACTTGGGACTCTGTGGGTGGGTCCCACTGCTTGAGCAGGGGGGACATACCAGGGGTTTGCACAGGAGACCCTCTTGCTTGTCCCCAGCCTGGAGTCCTTGTGTCCCTGAAGCCAAGCCCATGTACCAAAGTACAGCCCTGATTCCATCCCTTCGCTGTCCCCTTTTGTCTTTCCCTGGTGCTCCCGGTGGGCGGCCACAGCCTGCTCCAACCAGCAGATCCGCCAGACGTGTGTGCGCAAGAGTCTGATCTGCGCCTTCGCCATCGCCTTCATCATCAGCGTCATGCTCATCGCCGCCAACCAGGTGCTGCGAAGCGGCATGAAATAGGCACTACCTGGGTGCCTGCCTGGTACATGCAGCACCCGGGCCCACTCCACACCCACCACTGCCTGCAGCCCTTACCCCAAGCTGGCTCCCTGGGCCACCACCTTTGGGCACTTCAGGGCCTGGACATTGATCACCCCACTCCTCGCCCCCACAGGCCTTGCATGAAGCTGTGGCTTGGCTGTGGAGGACCTGGTGGTGGCTCTGAGAACAGCCCCAGCCCCTACACCCTGCCTGTGCACTCATCTGGCCTGTATGTAGCGTTAACTTCTCGCAACCCAGGAGCTCCTAGGAGAGCAGGGATTTGCACAGGAGCCCCCAGGATCCGGCTGCTGCTGTGGTCCCTTAGGCAGGACAGGCTCTCTATGTCCAAGAGGGACAGCTGCCTGCTCAGGCTCACACAGCCCAGAGCTGTGGGTAGGGTGGAAGCAGTGGAGGCAGAAAGCCCCTTCCTAGAGAAAGGCACTAGGCTGGGACTCCTAGGTCCCTTCCTCTGACCCTCCTCAGACCTGAAGCCAGTCCTTCCACACATCTGCTGAGGCCTGCACCTGGCCATTTCACAGGTGAGGAGCCTGAGGCTCTGAGGGCCTGAGATCCCGCTTCAGATTCTCCTACCACAGGGATTTTCAGGAAGGGTAGTAGCTCATGGAAAATGGGGCATTAGAAGTCTTGAGGCCCTTGATTTGGTGAGCCCTCCACCGAAGGCCCAGCTACTAAGGGCCATGTTGTCTCCTAACTATAGCCCAATTGAGCAGAGCTCTTGTGGCCTGTGTGACTCCCCGGTGGCCAGGGTAGAATCTTGGGAGGCCCTGGGTCACCCAAGCTGAGGAATGGGCACAGCCCTGCAGTGTGAATGCCATCAGGCCACTCTACCAAGCCCAGGGTCTGTTCTGGGCCTACCGCTTCTCTGTACCCTCAAGGCCGGAGATCCAGCTCTTGTCCCTGCTCCCCATGTGCCATCCTCAAGCTTGGCAACAGCTCAGTCTGGGCAGATATGGGGCTACAGTTCTTCGGGGGCCAAGAAGGCTGACAGAATCCTTGGGCTCCTTTCCCCAGCCTGGGGCCACTTCCCACCCAGGCTGTAGCTACACTGGCGCACCCTGTGCCCAGCTGGGCTGAGCCTCCGCTGATACCCAAGCAAGAAGGGCTGTAAGCACAGATCACCCTGGAGGGGATTTGTCTCATTCCAGCCCACCTGTCCCCTGACCAGGGCCGGAGGACAAAGCCAAGAACTTGAGTACTGACAAGAGAAGCACAGCCCAACCACCGAGGACAGGCTCTATAAACATCTTCTCAAGACATGCCCTGAGGGATGGTGGGATAGTGGGTGGATGGGGGGGCTTCAGGGGGAACAGTAGGAAGGCAACTTGGCTCCCCAGGCTGAGCAGTTGTCTTTATTGGGACTGACCAGACAGCTGACCAGCTGGGAATCAGGTGGGGAAAGGGGCTCAGCCCCACTGGACGCTGGGCTGCAGGGGCCACCCTCCAGGTGGGGGTGCCCTCAGGGAGGGGGGAAGCTCCTGCACTGGAGGCCAGCCCACAGGGTACTGGAAGACAGTGGCTCTGATGGGTTCAGCCCTAGAGAGATGGAGGAAGGCAGAATATTAGAGCAGGGCACCTCTCAGACCCAGATGACCCTCCCACCATTCTGGCTATGGGGAGGGTTGGCTACTTGCATGGCCCTTCTGGAAACGCAGAACCTTGAAAACATGCCGACCCGTAGAGCCAGCAACCTCCTCTTGGAACTATGGTCAAGGAAATGGTGGGGCTGTAGGCAGAGACTGAGCTACAAGAATGGCCTTGGGCAATATGGAAGTAATCTTAGTGTCCACCTGTGGGGAACTGATTACATATGCACGTCCACAGCAGAGAATGCTATGCAGACTGTGTAAAAATGAAGGCAGACCTATATGCACTGATGAGGAAAGACATACTATGTGAGTATGGAGAAAAAAGCAGCTTATAAAATAATGTATATAGCATGATACTATTTTTGTTGAAAAATATATAACATATATAAATGCATAAAAACAACCTTGGAAATCACAGCCAAATGTTAACAGTGGTTCTATCTGAGTGGTGTAGTTATGGGTGGTTTTTTAGCTCTTAATACTTTTCAAAAGTTTTACAAGCACACAAGCCTTTGAAATCAGAAAAAAAAAACCCTAATTTTCTTTAAAGTCTCCTTTCTCATGCTACTCACTCTCCTCCTTACCATTCATCTCCCTAGACTCAGGGCCCACCTGAAGGGTGGCCTCAGTGCCCAGCCTGGGGTGTTCTCCTAAGGGAGCTGCCTGAGGCCCAGAGTAGCATACAAGCAGCCTATCCTACATCCAGACCCTCCAGACCTGGGCCCCCATCTGCCTGTTGTCCTGGGACGGCACTGTCCTCTCAGGCACACTGAATCCATGTGGGAGCTCTCAGAGGGTGGAGACCATGGGAAAGAATAAATCTGTACCTGGTACCAGGAAGTCACCCAGTGAATGCTGACTGACAAGCAGCCATGCTAACAGCTCTCTCTAGGTACTGTTCTAGAATAAACACCATGGCTGGAGACATTTTAGGACTCTTCACACAAATGTCATTTTACAGATAAGGCAACTAAGGTATAAGGAGTCAGCCACACATGCAAGTGACATAGTCAATGCAGTCTGTACTGCCTCCTGCCCTTCAGTTCCTTCTGCTATATCCTTCAGAGAAGGGGAGGTCATGGTAGCTCCTGACCATCTTAGGTGCCTGGTGGCCAGATCCCTGCAGAAAGAGAAGGGCTTGAGGCCCCTATGGGGTGTCTGGACAGACCTTAGGCCTAGAAGGAGGTGGTGGAAACTGGGTTCAGCAGCCCTACCTTAGAGTTTGCCTGGCCATATCCATCTAGCTTGTCCTCAGGGCCTGATCCAGGCAGAGTTGCACAGAGTGGAGGACTTGCCTGGGGCCCTAAATGCAGCCTTCAGGAATCCCACTGAGAGGACAGGGATATCCCCTGCTCAGTGGCTTGCTGCCTGCTAGAAAGTGCAGAGAGCAGAAAGCAGCTCTTGACATGATTTATGGTGCTGGGAGATTTCATAAACTCCACCAGCCGCTGAGAAGACTGGTTATGGGAGAGAGAGGATCCACAGTTGGAAGGGAGTGCCAGCCAACCTGGGGCTCCTGTGGGGCCATGGCAATGGTGGGGCTCCTCTAGGGAGAGGTGGTCTTTGGGAGTTCCTCCACTAAGCCTCAGGCCCTTCCTCTAACAACTGATCTGGCCAGTGCCCCTGACTGCCCTGAGGACCCCAATGGGAGAAAGGCATCCTTCATGCTCACTCATAGATATTGGGCACCTTGCCAGGACCCCAGACACTAGCCTCAGAACCCACTCTTGCAGACACACACAGAGCATGAGGGTCACAAGTGTGCAAGCTTTCTCATGGCCTGCATGCTCCAGGTACAGTGGTGGCAGGAACATCCTGGTACATACCCAGCCTTTATCAAAAGGGAATAGCTTTGTAGAGGTGAATGTACAGGACAGAGCCCTGGCCCAGAGAGGGGTGCATGTGGGAGATTAAGAGGGATAAAGGCACAATCAGAAGAACCAACAATAGGAAGCAAGGACAGCACTGCCTGGCTGGCCAGGGATTAGTCTGAGGCTGGCTGTTCCCTCCTGCGGCTGCTGTCTGCTCTTGACTGGTCCCTCAGGGTCAGGGCTGAGAAACTGAGCAGATGCCAACAGGCTATGCCTCTGGGGAGCTTGTGTTCTCACATTAACAAGGAGAGTTTGCCTAGTTCACCTGGGGGTTCTCTGCCTAGCCTATGGGTGCTAGGGCCCACTGGTCTGGGTGGCCCTAGGTGGGCCAGGTAGCCATCAACACCCCAGGGAAGAAAGCATACATCCCAAGAAGAGTCTCCATAAGGGGCCCCCCAGTGCTGTCATCTAGACCAGAGTCCTTGCTCCCCCAAATGTGTCTTCATATAGTCGCCATGTCCCAGGTAACCATTACAGCTAAAGTCTGCAGGCGGAGGAGGGGTTTGCCAGGTGAAAAGATGCAGAGGCAGTGTCCACTGTGACCCAGGTGAGGTTGAGAGGTAAGTAGCAAGGGCTGTCTTCAGGCCCTGTAGACTAGGCTTGGAGTCTCATCCCTTCTGAGGGGAGGCCTAGAGCCAGGGTAGCCTTCAAAAGCTGGTCAGGGCTGTAGTGTGGGGGAGAAATAGGAGGCAGGGAAGTACAAGGCAGAAGAGAAGCTGCTAGGGCTGTGCAGAGAGCCAGGGTGGACAAAGGGCACGGGTGGGCACTGCTCCCACAGGACTCTAGGCTGAGGGGGTGGGTGGAGCAGAAAGCTGGCAATGAATTGGAACAGAATAGGGGTCATATCTTAGAGACCACCCTGCAGGGACACAGCCGAGGGAGTTTGAGGCAGCAATGGCAGCAGCAAGAGTAAATGGTCATCTCTTTTCTGGAACCCCCTTTAAGGCTAGACAGGCCTGCTCTGCCCAGAAAGGAAGTCATCTTGCCTGGAACCCTTAGGTGAGTGGTTGAGCGGGGGCAGAGAACAAACAGCTGTAGATTCCCTGGAAGTGGCCAGAGGGAGAATGACCTGGGAAGCAGGATGCAGATTTCTAAGAACCTAGGGTGGCCCAGATGCGGGCATCATTCCCTACCTAGTCAGTCAGCTACTGCTACTTCAGGCCTGGAGTCAGTAGGCCTTTCAGCAACCTGAACATGGTGGGTGGCAGAGGAGCTTGGGGTCTAAGAAGCAACCAAGTACCTGGCTACAACCTCCAGGAGGAGCTACAACTCCAGAGCTGCAAATTGGGAAGCAGGCTCCCCAACCACCTAGGACCAAATACAGGACACATATAAACACCAAACTAAGTTATTATGTGGATGGCAGCTCTACCTATGAGTCATTCAGCCTCGGTTTCCTCATCTCATCCCCTGGCTCTCATAATCACTCTAGCATGTCTATCTGTACCCACTCAAGGACATTGGGTCATGCTCTTTCTACCCACCTATGGCACACCCAAGTCCAGCCACAGGGTCTTCCTGTAGTCTCCTCACAACCCTAAGGTACCCAGGCTGTCAAATAATCCCAGGGGAGAAGACTGCTGAGGCAGAGCAGTGGAGTGAACAGCCTGGACATCACAGGAAGTGGCAGAGCTTGGGAGATCCTTAGAGTGGGCTCAAGAATGAGCACATTGTGGCTGTCTGGGTGACCTCTGCCTAGCCTTAACCCTCTAACATAGCTGAAGGAGCCTGGGTCCCGGGACAGTACCCAAAATTATATCCATTCCAATGGGTCCAGAAGAAAGGGATGCCATACTCTGTTTAAGCCACATCTATACCATATATTTTAAGTGGGGGTTCAGACACTGGGCACAGGTTTAAAATAAAGGTAAAATACAAAGGTAATTTAAAAATATAATAGGGGCTGGAAATGGCTAAGCAGGTAAGGGTACTTCCTGCCAAATCTGATTACCTGAGTTTTGATCACTGGAACCCACATGATAGACAGAACCAAGTCCCCCAAGCTGTCCTCTGAGCGCCACATGTGTGTGTGTGTGTATATATATATATATGTATATGTATATACACATATATATACACACACATATATATGTATATGTATATGTATATATATACACACATATATATACACATAAATAAAATAAACTTAAATACTATAATAATCCTTGTCACTGGGGCAAGATGCTCATCCTTTAACCTTTGGCAAAAATCCTGAAGGATGTTTTCACTCCACAGACTATCTGATAAGACTCCCTTGCCTTAGCCAGGCCACTGCCCCTTGAGGACACAGCACAGAGATACATGGGGTATGAAAGTCACTGTAAGACAGGAAAGCAAGGTGGGCTAGGACAGAGGCAATCTAGACAAAGCCACACACAGCTCTCAAGTTCAGCCTTTAGCACCTCCTCTACCTCTAATACCTGGAGGGGGAGCCTGGGAGCCTTAGCCTTGGTTTTGGCAGTGATGTCAGCCAAAACATCACAACAGACAACAGACACCACTGGCTGCCCCTGTGCCTGTCTACTGATGTGCCTGCCTCTCCAAAGGCCCTGGGACAGCACACAGCCATACTTTAGTGGCCCTTGGCTCAACATGTTCCCTGTGTAAGAAGGGAGGAGTCCTGTCCATTTCAGAGCATCCCAAAACCTTAGGGATATGGTGGGACAATGACCTTGTTGTCATACTGCTGTGAACCCTTGCTCTACTTCTTCCACTTGTCCCCACATGTCTCTGTGAGCTTCAGTTTCCCCTTCTCAGGTCCCTATAAGGGACAGTGGGTAGCAGGTACACTGGGAGCTTGGCTGTCAAAGTCAGGCCCTGCCTGTCTTTCAGTCAGGGACCAGTGGTAGGGAGCCACATCTGTTTGGCCACTAGCTTCCCCTTCAGCCCTACATTCCAACAAGGGCTGAGCTATTAAAGGAAGGGACCAGGGGCCAGGGACCAGGTAACTTTCCATATACAGCTCCCTCTGGCCAGAAGTTGGGAAGCCAAGATCTTCCAGTTGAGCCCCACCGGCAGGAAGCTCTATAATGGGGGTTCATGCTTGGCCCCTGGACCCGCATAGTTCATGGAGATGCCTAAGCTTCCCCAAAGACAGGCTGCCTGAGACAGCTTCTAGATGGGAAGTGGGGGTGGTCCTGGGGCCTGTACCTGCTGCTTGGTGCTGAGCTCAGCCGCTTAGCTCTCTTCTCCAGCCAGTCCTCCAGATGACCCTCAGGAAGCTCAGCAGTCTCTAGTGGCCATTCTCTGGTTCGCCTCTCCTCTGTGGGGGACAGAGAGACAAGGGTGAAGGGCACAACTCTGCTGAACTGAATCCTACTCTCTCACAAACCTGTAGGGGCTGAAGGGTGATGGACAAGCCCAGGGATGCTGTAGTAGTCCATTAGGGGGATGTGGCCACTAGACCAGGAGCAGAGCCACAGGTGATACTATCCCATTCATTCCACTATCTCTCCAGCCTCCTCCATGTACCATGACTCAGCACCCTAAGCCTTGCTCTGCTCTCTGTCAAGAGGAGACAACACTGGCTGCCTCCAAGCCTTGAGAAGCTAGAAACAGGACAATGAATTGAGAGCTTCACTCAAGAGGGGTCTAAATCTGGGATGTAGGAGGCATGTGGGCAGAATGGGTTGAATCTCAGCTCTGGCACATGCCAGATCTCTGACCCCAGGCAAGGTAATGAGCCTCAGTTCCCTGGTTTTTCTTTTCATTCAATATCCTATTAAAATGTTCACTGAACTAAAACCAAGCAATGAATGTAAAGAGTTCCTACAAACTAGATGGAAGCTGGTAGAGGGTCAGTCTCTCAGTGCTGCAGGATGGGGCCTTAGGCCAGGGGAAAATAATTAAACTCATAGATCCACACCCTGTATTCTGGCATTGCACATCCTGCTCATCTTCATGATAGTCACTTCCTCCAAGAACCCAGCCATGTGCCAAGGTTAAAGGGGAGGTAGCAGAGATAGGACTATTCAAACTGCCAGTCCTCTTGGTCTTACTCTGTCTCTGTCGCCACTAAATATTGTTTCAAAGCCCAGTGGCCTGTGTTCTCCTCACCATGAACCAACCATTCCCTGAGAGCACACATTCAGCGAGGAGCTGGAGACTGCAACTGCCAGGACTCTCTGACTGGCCCCATGAGGCCCTCATTACTGCCTTGGGAAAGCTGGAAACCATGCGTGAATGCCAGGTCTGCAGCCATACCATTGACTCTCTAGCTGCAAGGCATGGAGCCAGTAGGGTCTGACTGGGCAGAAGGGCAAGGTCCACCAGGGAGCAAGGACAAAGGCCAAGGACACTTGCTGTCTGCCCAGAGGTCACTGAACAGAAAAGAGTGAGTGACAGTAGTCGTGGAAGGCCTAGAATCCACCTCTAACTTGCTGTGAAGTTCCCACAAGGGCCTTCTGCCCGAGTGTTGACTCCTTTTCTTTACCTGTTCAATGGGAGGCTACGGGAGATTAATGAAGACCACCCAAGCGGAACTTCCCTGATCTGTAATCGGGAGGTGAGCAGTGAATGCCAATGTCAGACAAGCCAGTTTCTACCAGAAGCTAAACTCAGCAGCTGTGAGGATCCTGAGCACAGGAAAGTATTTTCTGCTGTCTTTGGGGGCAGGTCTCATGGATCCCAGGCTCGTCTTGAACTGACTATGTAGTCAAGGATGATCTTGAACTCCTGATCCTTCTGCTACCACTTTCCAAATGCTGGGATTACAGGCATGTGTGTCACCATGCCTGATAGGCAAAGTGTTTTCTTCATCCTTTTGTCTTCAGCGGTTGTAGGGCATTTACCTGGTTCTGAATGGGGATTCTTATGTTGTCTGATTAAGTGAGGGAGAGAGAGAGAAGGAGAAGGGAGGGCATGTGTAGGGAGGGCAGATATCTAGGCGTAACAGTGAGGCTAGCAAGAGGGCAAAGAGGAGCTGAGGCATACCCTCAGGGTCCTGGGAGGAAGCTACACAGCTCTGTTCCTGATACCCACCCTGGGCAGCCCTTGGCTTACTCACATAGTCAATGCCAATGAGGGAGAAGCGGGGTGGCATTGAGAGTTTCCTGGTATTAGACCCTCCCACCACCCACTCCTCAATTCCTGCTTTGCCTTGGGTCCCCGCCTTGACGCACCCTCCACCTGGATGCTCAGTTCCTGCAGGTCTCGTTCTGACATGTGGGAAAATCTGCAGTTGGAACCAAAGTCGCACTGACCTGCAATGGGAAGGCAGTTACTTTCCACTCAGGAAGGGTTCCACCATGGCTGAGGGCATGCTGATGACACACAGTTCCCAAACTTTAGGATCTAGAGTAGCAGTCCCAATCTAGAACAGCAAACTGGACTCTCTGGTCTAACTCATAGTCAGCAGCCTGAGCTGGCCCATCATACCCTGCTCCTGATCTTCTGCAGGCAGACCCCATGCCTGTCAGGCCTGGGTCACACAGTCTACACCTCCTTATCACCAGTCTACACCTCCTCATCTCAGTGGATTCCTGAGGGTCATACTTTCTCTCCAGGCCAGGCCGCTGCACATGCTATATCCCTACCTTAGCACCTTACGTGCATGAAGCCTATGCAAGCAGCTGGACTGCTCCTCAGAGACCTTGGGTGGCAGCTTTGCTGAGAAGCTTTCCCAGTCTCAACCAAGGAATCCAAAGTGTATCCCTCAAAATAATAAACCAGTGGTATCCTCTGCTAGTATAACTACCAGTAGCACATGTGCATCAAGTCTGTGGGGGAGCCTCTGATCTGTAGGCCTGGTAGTACCATCTCCTTGGCCAGTCACCCAGGTTCCCTATCTCAACAGTGGTGCCTTCCACAGGGCTAAACTCCCATACAAACCATGTGAATCTCTGTGATTTTTCTCTTTGCTTTGGTTGCCAAGAAGCTTAGAGCCAAACCCTTAGAAGAGTACACAGGACCTCAAGAATTAGCGTGGAGACTAATTATTACTGGATTGTCTTACTTTTCCATCCTTAATTCTATCTTTGCTTCCCTTACTTACTGAATTATATTTGTTCCTCCCCCACCTCCCTGCCTCCAAAGACAGGCTTGCTGTATAGCCCAGGCTGGGCTTGAACTCTCAATCTCTTTGCCTCCACCTCCCAAATGCTAATAATGTAGCCTGGTACCACTATATCCAGCCTTACGTTCTTTTTTCTTTTTCTTTCTTTGTTTTATTTTGTTGATTTGAGATAGGGATTCAATATGTAGCCCTATCTGACTGGGAATTTTCCTGTAGGCCACGCTGGCCTTGATCTCACAGAGATCCACCTGCCTCTACCTCCTGAGTACTGGGATTAAAGGCGTGTGCTACCACAACAGCCTCCTATGTTTGTTTGGTTTTTTTGTCTCCCTGCAGCCTCAGCTGTCTCAGAACTCACTATGTGGACCAGGCTGGCCTCAAACTCACAAAGATCTGCCTGCCTCTGCCTCCCAAGTGCTAGGATTAAAGGCGTGCACTACCACGCCCGACTATTTGTTTATTTT